CTTTTAAGGGCATGAATCCATTCCTAAAGGCTCTCATGGTATAATCTACATCCTCAGAGGCCCCAATCTTTAAATACTACTATAATGGGTATTAAGTTTCAACATAAATTCTTGGAGGAGACATATTTGAAATATAACACAAAAATAGTTATGAGCAATGAAAGTTAATTTCTCCTCCTAAGCTAGAAAGCTATTTATTATTTTCTGTTCAATCTTAAATGTGAATATAGTCACTGTTGTAATATGAAACAAAGAATAAAATACTACCTTTCTAAGAATGGATATTCTAAGGTCATGGTAACAAATAGTTCTCAGATGTCTTCAAGCTTGTTTATTAAACCAATCGCAGCTTCCTTTAGTGTATGTGGTTTATTTAAACCCACCAAGCTATGAGAATTACCTACTTCTGAAAGCCAGAAAAATAGCAGTTGATTTGAATGTCAGTCAATAAACAGTCTCACCCATATAATTCTAATACATATATCAACCCATGAAAGCCTCCAAAATCATGTAAGCCTCTAATGCTTGAATTCCCTGGCCCCACAACCTCAATAAAAGGTCAGCAGTGTGCTCAGGAGTATGCCTGAACCATATGGTTCTCCTTTCAAATATAGCAAATTGAGTTTTGCTACTTTACATCAGAAATTGAGTGTTGGACTCCCCAGCCCCAGTCTGTTTTGTAGTCATTACTCTTTGCATTATCATAATTGTTCACTTACATTAGGGCTTGGTAAGACCAACATAAGCAGCGAGATATTCTGCCAGTCCATTACATATGCTACGTATAGATTGATTATAAAACCCACCATTTAATATTGAAATAGCAAATATAAAGCTCAAGTTGCTCCTTATTCATGTGAAAGGAGCTATACTTACCAGAAGGGCTACTGGACTAGTGCAGACTCCTGTGTTTAGTGAACAACCTTTTAGTGACCAATGCGGCTGTAAACATAGTCTTTGACATGTGGCATCTCAGAAGTAGGTGTGTGTGTGTGTGTGTGTCTAGAAGCTATAGAAGGGTGTCTACTATTTTTACAAATAATTTAATTTCTAGAGAACATCTTACAACATCTTACATCTAGAACATCTTATTGTGGCTATTTCACACAACACTAAATTCTTTCTGAAAACAACAAATATCATGTGACAGCATCTACTATCATAAAACAAACTAGTTTAAATTTATTTGGAAGAAAATAGGGAAAGGGACAAAGAGATAAGTTGGTTCTGCAGTAATACAAAAGAGTTTCTAAAGGATAAAGTCCAAAATCTTCAGCACACACCATGTTCTTATAATGTAGAAACAGGCCAGCCCCACTTGCTGGCCAGCAGAATCACAGAGGAATAGCTTCTCTGGAGGAGACTCCGTGTCAAGATCACTTCTTCCGATCTGTGTCAGAGTGGTACTTCTTGGGCATAAGCCCAAGGTTCTGTTTAGTTTCCCATCGATGTAGAACAGATTGGCTGGTTGCAACATTACGCCTCATATCTTGATTCTGTAGGAAAAATAACACCCAACTCTTGTCTGCTGTGAACCCATAGTACTTCGAGCCTTTAACGCTGGGCTCCTTAACACCACATCTACATTCAGATAGGTAGTTCTGATCTAGACAGTTTGGGAAAGGTGAAAAAGCTTAGTCCATTAGTTTCCTAGAAGTTGTAGAGTAAAGACAAACTATAAGTTAGAAGGCTTCTGTAGTTTGAAATAGAGACAGAGAATCTCAAATTTCTTTATAACAACACCGGCCTCACCTCTTCCAGCCAGCTGTCTTCCCGGGAAAGCCTCTGCAACCGGTTTTTTGTCAGCTCAAGTTGTAGTCCATCAAACCTGCATTTAAACCAGCGGTGAGCTTCTTCCAGATTAGCTGTTATCTGAACATAGAAACAGCCACAAGTTCTTTTGTGTTCGGGTCTGGGAGATTTGTACCTAGACATCGGAGGACTCAAATTCTCACGTGGGTTCCTTGCAATATGTTTGTACAGTGTACTGAACAGCCATCAGTCTGCAGGAGTACTCTCTGGGTGAGGCTGTACAGCACGTTTGCAGGCTCCTGTTATCCGTGCGCCTTGTCAGAACTCACTGTCTATCCAATACCTAGTGAAGCATTGGCAGAGTAGGTCTCAGCAAATGTGTGCCGCCAAGTAGCTTTCGGATATTAGTAAGGCCAGCATGTAGGCATACTCTAGTAAGATAAGAGGACTGGACTTCTTTGATATAATGTAATTTAACTTTTAGGAACTACAAAAAAAAGTTTCAGATATGTTGGTTTAACCTGATAACAACAACTTCACTCTCTAAACCCAACCCAACCTTTCTCCAGGTGCTTTTTTAAAAACAGAAGTACAGGGAAAGATGCTGAAATGGCTTCATAAATCATACCTCCTATTGTATGGCAAATGAGAGGAAACTGGCATTGAAACTCACTAAAAAAATTGATTAGAATAAGATAGTAGTGTGTTGTAGTAAATAATTAAAATGGGCCTCTGGCTCAGGCCGACTGTCTAAGCTGCGGCGGGTAGCCCTGTGTGGTTCAGCCGCCATGTTCTGTGCCCAGAGACCACATGGGTGATGCAGCTAGAACCGGCCCACTAGAAACACCAGCCCTGCCACCCACTAGATGCCAGCGTGAGAGATGCCTCTGCCAATCTTCCACGCTGTCTCCGCAAGGCAGGGGATTGCCCAGACCATTCCACCATCCATGTGGCCCAGTAAGAGGATGAGACTCTAATTCTTATAGATTAATCAAAGGCTTTCTATGTTTGATAATGATTAATAACAAGATGCCCATACAAAGAGAGTTGTATTCCAGTTAGCTAACCTAATTATAAGTTTATAAGTTGTTCCCCACGAGTGCTCTCCATACCTGTGTGGTTCTCCATCCTCCTACATCTCTGCCCTCTCCAGCTCCTCTCCTTCTCCTCTTCCTCTCCTAACTCAGAGCTCTCACCTTAGTTCCTCCTACAGTAGTGGGCATTAACTAATTGACTTAATTTGCAGACAATAGATAGTTCATGGAAAGAGAGCACAGGACAGGAGGCAGATCACTGGGTAAGGTGCTTGCTGTGTAAGAATGAGGACCTCATTTGGATCCCCAGAACACCTATTAAAAAGAATCTGAGTGTTGTGGCATGTACTTGTAATTTCAGAGCCAGGGAGGAGGAGACAAGCAGATCCTGGAACTTGCTGGATAGCCAGCCTAGTCTAGTTGGTGAGTTCCAGTCCAATAAGAGACCCTGTCTCAAAAAAAGGGGGGGATGGATGGTACCTGAGGATACCCCAGGTTATCCTCTGGCCTCTACATGCATGCTCACACTTGTGCACATGTATCCCCCCCATACATGAACATACATGCATGTGCATACGCATACTCAAAAATGAGAGTAAGTGTAACTTTACTAAGGGCATATAGAAAGCATCATAGTTGGCACTCAAACATGCGATTAAGAGTCCTTTTCTTTCTAATATACTAGTTGGCAGGCTATATTATCGTGTAACTTAATGGACATAACAGGAACAAATGACAAACTGACAGTAATGTTAAGAATCTCCTTTGCATGCCACTGTACCATTCATGAATGTATGTGTGAGGCTGGTCATTACTGCAGCTCTTGGGTTCTAAGAGTAGTTGCGTGAATGATACAGTGATAGCCAGCCACTTTCTGGTTAGACGTGAGGTCTGTTCTCCAGAAGGCAAACTCATGTCTGGTACTGTAAATCTATCCAAGAACTGGGGGCCAGGGAACTCACAGGGCACCAAGCAGTATTCATTAGATCCATGCCTTGCTGCTTTCCCCTTCTGTTTAGAAGTATGAATCTGAACTTCAGAGTCCATTAATCTTCTAGCATTCATTCTCTATCATCAGAACATAGAATCAATAGAATCATAGAACAAGAACTAAAGTTCTTGATGGTAAAGATGAAGGTTAGTAAACTGCTGGCCCTTGCCTGTTGTACTCTGGACAGATACACCAGTGGCAGACTTCCCAGCGCTCTATGCTTCAGGGCTGCTGTCTGTGTTTCTCTAAGTGCCTAGGCCTGGCTCACCTGTTCTGACTCCACACTGGCTTCTTTTAGTTTATTTTCTGTCGCTTCTTTACATTTCTTCAGGTGTCTGTTAGTTTCTTCCAATTCCTGAAAATGTGGTAGATTTTAATAACCTTCCAATATACCATATAGAACCACAATGCTTCAAATTTCTAATGTGGTGATTAGATCGAGAACATCCCATGGGACACCTTTGAACTGCTATTTGTATTTTCATACAATGTAATCTATAGTCTACATAAAAAGTTTGGTTTTAGTTTATGGATTCTGTTGAGAGAAATTAATTAAGTCTGTCTGTCTGTCTTCTGTCTGTCTGTCCTCTCTCTATCTCTCTGTCTGTCTCTGTCTCTTTCTCTATCTTAAATAAGAGACCCTTTCATGGCTATTAGAAGGTAGGGGAGCTCAATGATCTCCTGAAGTTTATTTTTGGTTTTACACTTTTTGTTAGTTAAGAATAGCTAAGATTCCTGCAGTAGCAACAAGTACATTCTTTCTGAAGAGAACCAAGAGCTGAAAATCCAGAAGACTAAAGAGTCCAGTGCACCTGTAAGCTCTAGCTGTTTTGTAAAAGCAAACATCATATCCCAAACTACCATGATTTCAGTATGAAATGTCCTTCAAAATGTTCAAATGATAGGTGCTCAATCTTTAGTTGGGAGTTTTATTTTGGAAGGTGGCAGAAACTTTAGTAAGTGGGGGCTAGCTGGTTACTGGGGGTATTTGAAGAACATACCTGGTCCCAGTCCCCTCTTCTGGGACACTCTCTTCCTATACATGTCACTGTTCTCATGATGTCCTGCCTCACCTGGGGTTCAGAATCAACAGAGCCAGGAACTGCCGGCTGAAATCTAGGAACATAAACCCTTCTTTGTGCTAGGCACTTTTGTCGCTATAATGAGGAAAGTAACGAACATACCATTTTATGGATGTATTTTTTTCTATAGAGTCTAGGAAAGAGGAATCTTAAAGCATCCCTACCTTGCACCGATTTTCTAGCTCTTGCCTTGTTTTTCGCTCAGTCACTAGTCTCAGCTCCTGCTGCTTATTTCTCGCTGAGGTCTCATACTGGCTCTTAGCCAACAGCTCCATCTCCTTCTGGAGGGTGTTCATTTCAGATACAAATCTCTGGATGCTCAGTGACTAATAGGAAGAGGAGGGGAACTCGGTGAATATAAGTTAGAATTTTACATTGATGGTGAATAGAGTTGTGGGAATCATACTTTACCTGTTCATAGTTCTTTTTCTGATATTGATCCTTAATTAACTCCATTTGCCTCAATTCCATTTCTATTTGCTGACAGTAAATGCAGAAATAACAGAAAGAGATAATCAGTAGATGAATTTGGGCTGACTGAATGTAAAGTTTTCAGTTTCTGCTGGATTCTACTTCCTATCTAGCCCACTGACCCCTAACGAGCCAAGGATAGGAGCAGTATCTCCACCAAAGCAGAGGCAACACACCACAGAAGTGTCCTCCCACTTCCCAGAGAACAGCTGACAGTGCTCTGAAACTGCTCCCAGATATCACACAGCCCGGACCCTCCCAATACACCAAAGGGGTGAGGAGAGGGTTAGGCTTCTCAAACAACCTTCATCCTCTCCAGATTCTGTGCGTTATTTGCCTTGGCTGACAAGTGCAGCTTTATTTGGGCCCTTTGGTTCTTGAGCTTTTCCTTGTTACTGTTCACCACTTTTTCCAGCTCTGTAGCTTTGTGTCGTAGCTCTCGGTTTGTCCGGGACACTTCCACCGATCTGAAGTTGGCTTCGTCAAGAGCTTTCTTCAGCTTAGATGACAAAGGAACAAAAAAGAAGGAACAACTTTCACCTACTATTCAGGAAGAGACATTTAGGTTTGTTCCTATATTGAAAAAGAGTGAGGTCTGGGAGGTGGCTCAGCAGTTGAGAGCACCAGCTGCTTGTACAGCTTAAACACATAAAAAAAAATAAGAAAATGATACAATGCATGATATCTGATTATGCAGATTTATAAAGCAATAATCAGTTTTCATACTTTTTAACATTTGAGAGGAAATAAGACTTTAGATAAAGAATGTGAACCTGTAGTCATGAGCTGCATTTTATGCACAAGGCTGTGGAGAGTCAGTAACTTCCAGTCTCAGCTTCACCACCTATGTGTGGGTTATATAATGAACCTCCTTAAGCCTCAGGTTCATCAACTGAAAACTATGTGGATCACCTAAAAAAACCCAGAGCCCTCATGCACTGCCACTGCTCCGTGGTCACTGCCACGCTGTAACTACTTCCTTGCTGTCACATCCCATGCCTCAGGAAATGAAAGCAAGCTTGGTTACACATGCTTGGCCAGTGCTCACTACCACTGCATGTATTTTGTGCTTCTTGCTGTGAAAGCATTTTAATACCTTTGTCTCATGCAAAAGCATCATCACAATGAATGGTTTTACACTGTCCTGCCTTCCCACTCCCAGCATAGTGTTTTTGTTTCTCTGTCATTTGCTGCAGAACTCTGAAAAGAATTTATTTTTAAGAGTTAGGGCTTAAGGGACTTGCCAAAATTTCTGTTTTGAGGTTTCTTGACTATGAAGTGCAACACACACTTCTGTGGTAGTTTGCACATCAAGTTAAAAAGAGGTGGCTGAGGAGGAAGACAAACAGAGGGAAGGCACACACAGTGCAGGCTTTCTGTCCTGGATCTCACACAGGAGTCCTTTAGGTCTTAACAGTCCTCACACTCTTCTGCTGCATTCCTAAGGGTCATGAGATCCTCCACTGCTGCCGCAGTGTAGACCAACACTATTATCTCCACTGCTGCCTCAGTGTAGACCAACACTGTTATCTAGGCATCTTTGGCCAGATGCTTATTACAATTTAACTCTTTGAACAAACTGAAAAGTAGTTGTGATGACCTTGCTTTTACAACAGAGGAAATGGATCCGGAAATCAAGTCGCTTAGAGACAGTGAATGCATGGCTAATACAAGCAGGGCGAGGCTCAGCAGTGCTCAGCTCCGGTCCATGCTTCTCACATGGGCACTCTCTGTTGCCAGGTTTCCTCACATATTCACCATTATCACAGACACTTCCTTTATGGCTTCAGGTTTTTAATTTTAGATTTATTTATGTGTATGATTATTTTGTTTGCCTATATGTATGCATACCATGGGTATGCCTCATTCCCAGTAAGATCAGAGAGGGCACTGTATCTCCTGAAACTGGAATTACAGGGAGGCTGTGAGCCACCATATCCATGCTAGGAACCTGTTTCTGGTCGTCTGCAATATCGACAAGTACTCTTTGTTAGTATTCTGTCTAAACTCCACCTGCACAGTTACTCCACCTCCACAGTTACCTAGCAACAGCCAGGTATGTTCCTCCCCACAGTTACCTAGCAACAGGCAGGTAGGCCTGCCCACTATAAAAGGGGCTGCCTGCCCCCTCCTCCCTCTCTTGATCCCCTTACTCCTGCGCCTGCAGGTTCTCTGTCCCCTCGCCCCTCCCCCTTCCCTTCCTCGTCTCTCCACGTGGTCATGGCCAGCCTCTACTCCTCTGCTCTCTGCTCTTTCTCTCTCTCTCTGCCTCTACTACCCCCCGGCTCCCCTCCCCATGCACTGGATAAACTCTATTCTATGCTATACCTTCGTATGGCTGGTTCCTTAGGGGGAAGAGATGCCTCGGCAAGGGCCTGGGGAGGCACCCCCTTCCACCATTGGTCCCCTTTCATTCACTCTTAATGTCTGTGCCATCTCTCCAGCCCCAGGTTTCAATTTTCTATTTGTTCTGAGCAATGAGCTCTAACTAATGGTTTATTTTTACATTCAGGACACCTGTTTGTGTCCTACAGAACTTGCTTTTTATAACCTATTTATACAGTGGTTTTGAGTTCACAAAGCTTTTGCAAGAAGTATTAGTTGAAGTTAACTGCAAAGTTTATCTGTCAATGACAATTACTGCATGTAATAAATTTACTAAGACACAATCCATCTCAAGCCGTATGTGTATGTTTACTATTTTTAGAATAATTTATATTATTTAAAACAAATTTTTAAATTTAAGTATATTTTGATATTCTTCTCCTCTCTCAAGTTCTTCCAGATCTTCTCTCTGTTCCTATCCACACAACTTTAAATTCTTTCTCTGTAAACAAACAAAAATTCAATACACAACAAACCCAACGCCCTTCAAAACCAGGAAAACAAAATAAAACCATAACCCCCAAAACTGTAACTGAATAAAAGCACACGAAAAAATTAATACCTTCCTCTTCAATGTTCATGATATAACAGTTAATATGTTTATTCTTCCTTTAAAATAACCCTTTGGCTTAATTGTCCCCTTTCACCAACCATTCTACTTGGCCCCGATTTTCAATTACCATGTTACGGTAATTGTTATGGTTTTCTTTAACCCTCGTCTAGTTTAGACTGAAATCCTAAGTTCTGCATCATCCTCAGTTTAGAGCATAGAGCGCTCAAGCCTTTCCTAAGAGTTCACTTCCAGTGATGTAGAAGGTAAGGCCATGGGCTCAGACAGGTCCCGCCGATGCAACGTGTCTTTCCCTGACATTCCTATTTTTGTAGCTCAGCTTTGACCAGGCTGCATAGAGGGCCTAGCTCTGCATCTCCATGAGACTCAAAGCTATGCTTTCATTGTTTCCTGCCTTTTAGCCCTAAACTAGTATAACTTTTCTTACTTTGAATTTCTTAAGAGCTGCACACTGCCTCTAGTTATCCAAGAACACCTATTTGCTCTCTTGAATTTTTTCTCATGTCCAGAGTGGCAATTGCAACTACACAAGGATTATTTAGCTCATGAATATAACATGAGCCACATCTTTTATAGCTCTCTTTGCTTTTGTTTTTGTTTGTTTGTTTGTTTGTTTTTGTTTAACACAAGATCTCACAAAGCCTAGGCTGACCTTGACCACAATATCTAGCTGAAGATGACCTTGAACTTCTGACCACAATGCTTGGATTGTGTGCTGTTAGAGATGGAAGCCATAGCTCTATGTAGCTAGGCAAGCATTCCTATATCAGCTAAGCTCTACCCACAGCCCTTCTACTGCTGCTGAGTGTGCCTCTCTGGAGCTGGTGGCTATGCAGAGGATGGGGAGACAGACAGGCTGAGGAGACAGTGACTAGATCTGCCAGAAGGCAGGCAAGCATCTCATACCTCTGATAGGAAAGTTTTCCTTAAGGCACCCCTCTGCCTGGTAGGGAACTGTGTGTATCAAAAACTGCTTTCTTGTCAATGTTGCTGTGCAAGGAGAGGTGGCTGCAGCATGTCTGGCTTGCTGAGCAGAGGGACCAGAACAGCTAAGTGTAGTCCCTCTGCACCTGCTCTGCTGGGGACCCTCTTGGGAAGTGCTCCTCTTTCTCAAATGGCCCCATACCTCAGACAATTCCCTCTGTGATGCTTTCTTTGCAGTCTCTCTCTCAGTTTGAAACTGCTTCCTCAGAGCTTCAATGCGCTCTGCGTGCAGTTCTGCTTCAACTTTGGATTCCTCAGCAATCCGCTCTCTGTTGTGAAGGAAACGATAAATTCACTTTAAGAACCATCTTAAGAGTTAAGAAGGGTTTTCAAGCCCTCACCTGGTACTTTTGGCTGGGTCTGCTCCTGTGGAGACACCATATCCTAAGCCATCCAAGAGGAGCCACTGTACTAAAAGCAGCAGGTAAGAACTCTCTCCCACTACACTACACCCCAGAGTTACAACTGGGAGCCAGGGGCGCTCAGGTCCCATCAACAACCCAAACCCCATCCCTCCAGAATACCACTTTTCTTCTGCTCCACGCCTGGCCCTTTTGGCTGGGACAGACACCTAGCTGGTCTGCTCCTGTGGAGACACCATATCCTGAGACATCCTAGAACCACCACTGCACTCAGAGCAGCAGGATTTCAGGATCCCAGAGGCAGCCTGAGTCCCAGGAGTTCTTCCACCCAGGAGCTGAGGATCACAGAATCACAGAGACATCTGGACTCTGAGGAGTTCTGACACAAGCAAGATAACTGGAAAGACAGACTCCAGTCAGACACAGTGAATGCAGGTAACACTAGAGTTAACCAGATGGTGAAAGACAAGTGCAAGAACATAAGCAACAGAAACCAAAGTTACTTGGCATCATCAGAACATAGTTCTCCCACCATAGCAAGGCCTGGACACCCCATCACACTGGAAAAGCAGGATTCAGAATTAAAATCACTTCTCATGATGACGATAGAGGATTTTAAGAAGGACATAAGTAACTCCCTTAAAGAAGTACAGGAGAACACAGGTAAACAGGTAGAAGCCCTTAAAGAGAAAACACAAAAATCCCTTAAAGAATTTCAAGAAAATACAAACATGTGAAAGAATTAAACAAAACCATTCAGGATCTAAAAATGGAAATAGAAACAATAAAGAAACCTCAAAGGGAGACAACCATGGATATAGAAAACCTAAGAAAGAGATCAGGAGTCATAGGCCCAAGCATCACCAACAGAATACAAGAGATAGAGGAGAGAATCTCATGTGCAGAAGATACCATGGAAAACAGTGACACAACTGTGAAAGAAAATGCAAAATGCAAAAGGCTCCTAACCCAAAACAGCCAGGAAATCCAGGACACAATGAGAAGACCAAACCTAAGGATAACAGGTATAGGTGAGAGTGGAGATTCCAAGCTTAAAGGGACAGTAAATATCTTCAACAAAATTACATAGGAAAACTTCCCTAACCTAAAGAACGAGATGCCCATAAACATACAAGAAGCCTACAGAACTCCAAATAGACTAGACCAGAAAAGAAATATCAAAGTATAGCAGAGAGTATAGCAAAACTCTTAATCACTATAGATGGAGAAACCAAGATAGTTCATGACAAGACCAAATTTACACAATATCTTCCCACAAACCGAACACTTCAAAGGATAATTGATGGAAAACGCCAACACAAGGAGGGAAACTACAACCTAGAAAAAGCAAGGAAGTAATCTTCCAACAAGCCCAAAAGAAGATAGCTATACAAACATAATTCTACCTCTACTAACAAAAATAACAGAAGCCACAATCATTTTTCCTTAATATCTCTTAACATCAATGGTCTCAATTCCCCAATAAAAAGATTCAGACTATCAGACTGGATACACGAACAGGACCCATAATTTTGCTGCATACAGGAAATACACCTCAGTGACAAACACAGATACTACCCTCAGAGTAAAAGGATGGAAAACAATTTTTCAAGCAAATGGTCCCAAGAAAAAAGCTGGAGTAGCCATTCTAATATCAAATAAAATCGACTTTCAACCAAAATTAATCAAAAAAGATAAGGAAGGACACTTCATACTCATCAAAGGAAAAATCTACCAAGATTAACTCTCAATTCTGAACATCTATGCTCCAAATGCAAGGGCACCCACATACATAAAAGAAACTTTACTAAAGCTCAAAACACACATTACACCTCACACAATAATAGTGGGGGATTTCAACACCCCATTGTCAGCAATGGACAGATCATAGAAACAGAAACTAAACAGAGACACTTTGAAATTGTTATGAACCAAATGGATTTAACAGATATCAATAGAACATTTCATCCTAAAACAACAGAATATACCCTTTTCTCAGTACCTCATGGAACCTTCTCCAAAATATACCAAATAATTAGTCACAAAACAGGCCTCAAGAGATACAAAAAGATTGAAATAATCCCATGCATCCTATCAGATCAACAAGGACTAAGGCTGGTCTTTAATAATGACAAAACCAATGGAAAACTCACATGCACATGGAAACTGAACAACACTCTACTCAATGATGACTTGGTCAAGGAAGAAATAAAGAAAGAAATCAAAGACCTTTTAGAATTTAATGAAACTGAGGACACTTCATACCAAAGCTTGTGGGACTCCATGAAAGCAAGCATTGCCAAGAGGAAAACTCATAGCTCTAAGTGCCTACAAAAAGAAACTGGAGAGAGCATACATTAACAACTTGACAGCACACCTGAAAGCTCTAGAACAAAAAGAAGCAAACACACCCAAGAGGAGTAGACAGCAGAAAGTAATCAAACTCAGGGCTGAAATCATCCAAGTAGAAACAGAACTATACAAAATATCAACAAAACCAGGAGCTGGTTCTTTGAGAAAATCAACAAGATAGATAAACCCTTAGCCGGACTAACCAGAGGGCACAGAGACAGTATCCAAATTAATAAAATCAGAACTGGAAAGGGAGACATAACAAAAGAAACTGAGGAAATTAAAAAAAAAATAGATCCTACTACAAAGGCCTATATTCAACAAAACTGGAAAATCTGGATGAAATGGACATTTTTCTAGACAAATACCAAGTACCAAAGTTAAATCAGGATCAGATGAACCACCTAAACAGTTCCATAACCCCTAAAGAGACAGCAGCAGTCATTAAAAGTCTCCCGACCAAAAAAATCCCAGGACCAGATGGTTTTAGTGCAGAATTCTATCAGACCTTCAAGGATGATCTAATACCAACTCTCTTCAAACTATTCCACAAAACAGAAACAGAAGGAACACTACCCAATTTGTTCCATGAAGCTACAATCACACTTATACCTAAACCTCACAAAGACCCAACAAAGAAAGAGAACTTCAGGCCAATCTCCCTTATGAATATCAATGCAACTTACTCAATAAAAGTCCTGCAAACCAAATCCAAGAACACATCAAAACAATCATCCATCATGATCAAGTAGGCTTTATCCCAGGAATGCAGGGATGGTTCAATATACAGAAATCCATCCACATAATCCAGTACATAAACAAACTCAAAGAAAAAAACCACATGATCATCTCACTAAATGCTGAGAAAGCATGTGACAAAATTCAACATCCGTTCATGATAAAAGTCTTAGAAAGATCAGGAAGTCAAGGCCCCTACCTAAACATAGTAAATGCAATATACAGCAAACCAGTAGCCAACATCAAACTAAATGGAGAGAAACTTGAAGCAATCCCACTAAGATCAGGGACTAGACAAGGCTGCCCACATCAGTAGCATTCCTCTACATGAAAGATAAATAGGCTGAAAAAGAAATTAGGGAAATGACACCCTTCACAATAGTCACAAATAATATAAAATACCTTGGTGTCAGTCTAACCAAGCAAGTAATAGATCTGTATGACAAGAACTTCAAGTCTCTGAAGAAAGAAATTGAAGATCTCAGAAGATGGAAAGATCTCCCATGCTCATGGATTAGCAGGATTGATATAGTAAAAATGGCCATCTTGCCAAAAGCAATCTTCAGATTCAATGCAATCCCCATTAAAATGGCAACTCAATTCTTCACAGAGTTAAAAAGAGAAACTCTCAAATTCATTTGGAATAACAAAAAACCCAGGATATCGAAAACTATTCTCAAGAATAAAAGAACTTCGGGAGGAATCACCATCTCTGACTGCAAGCTGTACTATAGAGCAATAGTGATAAAAGCTGCATGCTATTGGTACAGAGACAGGCAGGAACATCAATGGAATAGAATTGAAGACCCAGAAATGAACCCACACACCAATGGTCACTTGATCTTTAACAAAGGAGCTAAAACTATCCAGTGGAAAAAGGACAGTATTTTCAACAAATGGTGCTGGTTCAACTGGAGGACAACATGTAGAAGAATGCAAATTGATCCATTCTTATCTCCCTGTACAAAGTTCAAGTCTAAGTTGATAAAGGACCTCCACATAAAACCAGATACACTGAAACTAATAGAAGAGAAGGTGGGGAAGAGCCTCGAATACTTGAGCACAGGGGAAAAGTTCCTGAACAGAACACCAATGGCTTATGCTCTAAGATCAAGAATTGACAAATGGGACTTCATAGAAATGCAAAGTTTCTTTAAGGCAAAGGGCACTGTCAATAGGACAAGACGACAACCAACAGATTGGGAAAAGATCTTTACCAATTCCACATCCAATAGAGGGCTAATACCCAATATATACAAAGAACTCAAGAAATTAGACTCCAGACAACCAAATAACCCTATTAAAAATGGGGTATAGAGCTTAACAAAGAATTCTCAACAGAGGAAACTTGAATGGCTGAGAAGCACCTAAAGAAATGTTCAGCATCCTTAGTCATCAGGGAAATGCAAATCAAAACAACCCTGAGATTCCACCTCACAGCAGTCAGAAAGGCTAAGATCAAAATCTCAGGTGATATTAGATGCTGGCGAGGTTGTGGAGAAAGAGGAACACTCCTCCATTGTTGGTGGGATTGCAAGATGATACAATCACTCTGGAAATCAGTCTGGCAGTTCCTCAGAAAATTGGATATTGCATTACCTGAGGATCCAGCTATACCACTCCTGGGCATATACCCAGAGGATGCTCTAACATATAACAAGGACATATGTTCAACTATGTTCATAGCAGCTTTATTTATAATATCCAGAAGCTGGAAAGAACCCAGATGTCCTTCAACTGAGGAATGGATACAAAAAAAAAAATGTGGTACATTTACACAATGGAGTATTACTCAGCTATTAAAAACAATGAATTCCAGAAATTCTTAGGTAAATGGATGGAACTAGAAAATATCATCCTGAGTGAGGTAAGCCAATCACAAAAGAACACACATGGCATTCACTCACTGATAATTGGATATTAGCCCAGAAGCTTGAAATACCCAAGATTCAACTCACAGATCACATGAAGCTCATGAAGAAGGAAGACCAAGTGGGGGCGCTTCAGTCCTTCTTAGAAGGAGTAACAAAATACTCAAGGGAGCAAATATGGAGACAAAGTGTGAGACAGAAACTGAAGGAGGGGCCGTCTGGAGACTGCTCCACCTGGGTATCCATCCCATGTGCAGTCACCAAAGGTAGATGCTGATGTGGATGTCAGGAAGTGCATGCTGACAGGAACCTGATATAGCTGTGTCCTTAGAGGTCTGCCAGAGCCTGACATATTCAGAGGCAGATGCTCACAGCTAACCATTGATCTGATCAAGGGGTTCCCAATGGAGGAGTTAGAGAGAAGACTGAAGGAGCTGAAAGGGTTTGTGGCCCCATGAGGAGAACAACAATACCAATCAACCAGAGCTCTCAGGGTCTAAACCACCAGCCTCGGAGCACATAGGGAGGGACCCATGGCTCCAGCTGTATATGCAAGGGAGGATGGCCCTGTTGGGCATAGGTGGGAGAGGAGATCCTTGGTCCCAAGAAGGCTGGATGCCATGTATGGGGGAATTCGAGGGTGGGGAGGTGGGAGTTGGGGGGTAGGTGGGGGCACATCCTCATAGAAGCAGGAGGAGGAGGGATGGGATAAGGGGATAACGTCTGAAATGTAAATAAAATATCCAATAAAAAAGAAGGATTTTCAAAGAATGTCTGCCCTCTAAACAATCTGTGACTTACAAACGAGCAGCATACCATCATCAGGTCAGCCGCATGAAGAGAGCTCAAAACCAAGGAAAAGGGGAGAGGTTACCAGGCACACCCAAACCCAACGCTGTGTTCGAGGATTCAACCTTAAGTGGAAAAAGCATTCAGAAAACCTGGAGTGGACAACACGCCCAGGAGATGACTACTTTGTTCTGAGATGACTGCTTTGTTGTGTGGTGCTTGATAGCAGCTACTCATTCTCTAGCCTTAAACTGTATCATTTCCCTTTTGAAGTGAGAGGCTTCCATCTGATCAGCACTCTTAGTTTGGGTTCTTTGGTCAAGATAAATGATTAGGCTTCTGAACATGCTGGAATTCCTTGAAATGACAAGCAGAATGTGTGTGGCATTTATAGATTTCTACTCTTTCAAGGACAAATGAAAAGTTGGACAGCAATAGATTTAACCCATGACTCCTTGTGGGCTTAAGACTGATCAGGTGGAGGTGACTCCGGGAGTGGCTCTGCTGAGTGACCAACAACAGTATGTGGCTGCCTTGCCTGCAATCCTTTCTTCTTTCTCCCAGCATCTCTTCTGTGTGTTTGGATGATGTATCCATGTTCCTTATGTGCTTCTAGAAAAGCCTCTGCTAATGAATTCTGTTTGTCCACCAGCTGGCGTGCTGAGGAGACCTGAAGGTGTAACTGTAACTTCACTGTCATCTCTGGCCCGCTCAGGGGTCCCAACAGAGAATTTTACATTTATCTCAATAACACGTGGATGTCTTTTGTTTCAAAAATTATATATTTCAAAAATTTATTTATATATTTTGTGTGCGTACACACATGCACACATAGTGTCAGAGGACAACCTGTAGGAATTGATTCTCAAGTCATCAGCCTCTATGGCAAACCCTTCTATCTGGTGAGCCATCTCACTGTCCACTGATAATTTCCTAATGACATTACATAAAGGGATGGGACACCTGAAGTCACTGGTGAAATAATTATGTTTTGTTATTACATCCCCACACTCCATATCCATCACAAAATATTTTGATATACATATATACACATATGTGGAAGAAAACTATTATTTATATAGTACATATTATATTTTGATTTTCTATTTTGTTTGTTATGTGATTGAGATAATCAGTTCCAGTCTGCTGCCTCTGACTGAATCCAAACCTGAGCTCCAGCAACATGATATCTGATCTTGGCTAGGAATGTCATCTTTTTACCTCATTTCCTTATCTATAAATGGAAATAACAACAGTGTCCACCATCAAATGATCCTAGATGGTATTAAGGAAGTTTTTAGTATAATGTCCAATACAAGGTAGTAACATAATAAAGGTCAGTCTCTGTGTTAGCCATTATCATTGTCAGTATTTAAATCTAAAGTTCAAATGCTAACTTTAAATTGATTTTAAATTTAATTTGTGATTAAGACTACTTTTAAGACAATTTAAATTTTTTAAATCTTTATTTAATAAATAAATAAGTGTATGTTTGCATGTGTGTGTGCGCCTGTGTACATGTGTGTATGTGATGTAGAGGCTACAGTACAACTTGCAGGGTTCCATTCTGTTCTACCATTTGTGTACCAAGGCCTACACTTAGGTTGTCAAGCTTGACAGCAAGAGCCTTTACCCGCTGGGCCATCTCACCAGCCCTTAAGTTAACTTTTAATTTATTCTTCCCTTCAGGTTTCCACTTCGGCTGCCACTTGTGTAGATATGAGCTTCAGTTTTTCTTTTTATTGTAGAAGGAATACTCAATGTGCAATCTATTCAAACAGAGGTTTGTATGCATAGCATAGTGTTGTTAATTATGGGCCTCCTGTAATAAAAGTCTTTAAAACGTATTTACCCTGCTCTTTTCTCCTGAGGAGACCATCCACTGATAGTTCCTGACAGTTTTCTGGTTCAGTGAGCTACACTCGCCTAATCTCAAACTCAATGACAACCCTTCTCCTCTTCATTTTCTCCAAGTTAGTGGGACCTTTCTCTATGCCCTCAGAGCAGAGTCCAGCTCTCACCACAGACCCAGGAAGGAAAGCAGCAGAAACACTCTTTTACATAGCCCCAAGCCTTCATCTTCTCACTGCCTGCCTGCCTTTCATCATCACCCAAGTTCTACTTCTATATAATCAGGAATTTTCTAGATCTAGACCATTCTTATTCTGTATAATCTACAGCTATAGAAATGAACCACCTACAGATGCTCAGTAGATAGCAGCTGCAACGCTAATGGCTCCTTCTCTAGCCTCTCCCTTCTCCTTACTTAGTGCCATGCCCTGACCTCGGTTCTTCCTACACTTTTGCATGGAAGACAACACACTTCAGTACATTAGCTCCCATCATTGTAAAGATGAATCCAAACTGTGACCTCTTTTCAGAACTAGACCTGTATTTCTACATCTCATAATTCCTCCTCAAAATCAATGAGTCTAAAATGTATCTCCTGTGCTTTATCTTTCTCCTTAAGTGTGTACCCAGATTGGAACAAATTTGCACAATGTCCAGAGGTTGGCAAGCTTCGAGTGAGATAGGATTGCTCTTTATGAAAATCTGAACTGTAATTAGGTAAAGAAAGATTCTGAAGCAAACGAGTCTCACCTTATTCTCTCCTTGTCATCGACCCTTGCAATAATCCTTTTAGCTATAGTGAGAGGGATTATACTTTATGATTTTAAAGACTGAAAATAGTTTTCATACAATATATTCTGATTATGGTTCCCCTTCCTCAGTTCTTCCCATATCACCCTACTTCCCCACCCACCCAAACCTACATCCTTCCTTGTACTCTCTTGTTAAAAAACAGTCATTTAAAAAAAGAAAAAAATTGTAAAAAGATAAAATAAAAACAAACAAATCTGAATAGGGCAAAACAAACCAATGAATAGAAAACAAAGAGTACTTGAAGAATTTCCAGGGTGTTCAGGGTTAAGAATGACTCACTAGGTAAACTCATGCAGTTTATCTGACTTTGATAGGTTTTTAAATGATTATACCAGCCACTATACAAACACCATATTGTTTTAGCCAATACTGCACAGCCTTGTGACAGTACAGTTTGTAAAATGTAAGGTAAAACTTGCACAGACTGCATATATGGAAAGTACCCTCCTCCTTTGCCTTAGCTTCTGCCCTGACCCTGCATTGTCATGTACAATTAGTGACAAGGATAAGGTTCTATATGTATTCCCATGAGCATACTAGTGTCTAAATCACATTTACTGCCATACTGTTTGTAACAACACTTTCATGGTTTAATATAACCAAGTTTAGGCAAATACTAAAAATGATCCATGGCCTATCATCTGCTTAGTTGTTCCACTTCTGGTGAGTTATACCAGACTTCTGGGATTCCTTGTCCAAATCTAGATATATTACATATGTGTGCATGTGCCATGTGCTCATGTCTGGGGACAACTCTTGGGAGTTGGTTCTCTTGCTGCCTTGCAGGACTCAGGTCACCTGACCTACATTTGTGCCTCTGCCCACTGAGCCACCTTTCTCAGCCCTTCCTTTGGTTTTTCTTGAGATAGGATCTTACTCTGTAACTCAGGCTGGCTTCAAGCTCATGATCATCCTGCCTCAGCCTTCTAAATACTGAAACTACCAGTGTGTGCCTCTATACCTGGCTCAAAGGATACTTTAAAAGAATAGCTTAAGCTTGGGAGAAACATGAGTGTTCCTTGAAGTAGTCTTTAAGTTTAGGTTAACTTCACATAAAGAATCAGCTTGATAATGGGCAAAGAACTGCAAAGGAAAGCCACACAGGCATGCTCCAGCCAGCTATCACCAGCTGCTGCTCAGCTATGCCTGGGTGCTGTCAAGGACTGGGCAAGATGCACTAGCTCATGCAAGAGAAAGAGCTTCACTAGCTTCTCCAGACAGCCCCTCTCTCTCCAGAGGCACTCTCCCCATCCCAGGAATCTACTGTCCTTACTTGAAGGCTTCCAGACTCTGCCGCTCACGCTCTTTGCTTTCTAGTTTTTCTTGGAGGTGATCAAGTTTAGACTGCAGATGGCCATTTGTCTGGAGAGCTTGCTCTAGGCTCATGGCCAGTTTCCTGTTGTCTTCTCTAGTTACATCTAGAGACTTCTGTAGTGGCTCCATCTGAAAGAGAGAGGAGTGCCCATGAGTCCAGGGCAGTCAGTCTTTACTCCTTATACTATGGCTGTAAGTACCACTGAAATGATCAGTCAGAACTAGAAAGAAACACTGTAGGTAAACCATCACACACACACACACACACACACACACACAGACACACGCTCCATCACCAACACCACTCTCAGAAGGCAGTTCCACTGTAGATTAGAGAGCATGAGAGAATAGAGCTAGCTTATATTACTCCGATTTTCAAGAGTTTCACCAGTTAAATTATTCTCTTACTGATTCTATCTCCTGGTCTCGTTCCCTAGGAGTTTAAAAACCGGCAACTATTCCTCGTCTATTCCTAAACCAGGCTTCTTTGAGGGCTAACGAGAAGTCTCAGTAGGAGAAGGTACCTGCCACCTGACTTCTGAAAGCCTGCTGCTTTCAGTTCAGTCACTTGTACCCAGAGGAGAAAATGGCGCCCCACAATTTGCAATATGACCTCCACACATGTGTGCTTCACACAGAGTACACAAGTACTCTGGCCTCCAAATAAACGAACATTAAAAGGTGTATTCATTCCTTCTATAAATATGTATGTGTGGATAGATACTTATTGGGCACACATGTATGCACATGTCTTCTCACTAACAGAGTTGCCAGCTACCTCTGAGATTATACATTATTTTCTAAAACATTTCACTTCTGAAATAACCTGTGCATTAATAAATGAGAAGAATGTGGATAACAGAAGACAAAAAAATCAGTCAAAATTATGCAATTACTCATTTCTTATTCATAAATATGTCACTGTCCAGAATTCTTAGTGAAAAGGAACCTTCTCTGTTTCATTTCATCTTTCTAAAACCTAAGGTCACAATAGAACTGAGCAGATGGGTGTGGCCATCTCTAACACCTGGCTCTACCTCACTGCTGTGCTGGGCTTCCACAATTAGCATCCTGGCCTGCCACTGGTCCACTTCTGCTTCAAGCTTCTGTACTCTTTGTTGATTTAGAGATCTAAAAATAGAAAGCATAAGAGGTGACTGTAAAGGAGGGTACAGGAATGATGGTACCATGTGTAAGGTCCAAGATGCCTTTGTTTTGGAAGCTCAGACTGCATTATTAGCAGTCACATATGCTTCATCTTCAGGGCAAGAAAGGAAGGCTCCTAGGAAATTAAAACACTGTCTCATGTGTGACTCAACCACACTTACTTACTAGGCTATCAATCCATGTTTTTGACTGACTTCTGGCATGGTAATTTAGTGTACTGTTTTACCAGCTTGGTAAGGTTTGGCCTATGGTTGAGATTTTTACTTCTAAATATAACAGCTACTCGGAGATGTATTGTGACAAGCAAACATATTTTATATATTAGGCAAGATAATGTTAATGTACTAGAGAACACATTTATAATACACAAAATAAAGATAAGTACAGTGGAGAAAATACAACTCGTTTTCTCATGACATAGACGTAATATGAACTGGAATATGCATAATTACTCCAGAGACACTATCAGCCGCAGACCATTTTTTCTTAGCACAAAAGAAATATTAAATGTGACTTTCCTTTATCTTTTATTTGTTTGTCATTTTATGTAATTTTGAAATATTCAATGAAGTCCAGTAATTAAACCCAGCTAAAAGTAATTCTCAGGCTGACTGACCTAAGATAATTATTCATCTCTCAATTCGGCTTGAATGGTGCAGAAAGTAGCCCAGGTTCAAAGCCCACAGACTTCAAGGACACATTTACTCCGTGCCACTCTAGCAGTGGCAACTCGGACTGTTTGAAAAGCTTTCTAACTGCAGGCTTAGCACCTAACCTGCCAGTTCTTCAAACACCATTTTAATAGTTTCTCAAAGAAAATGATACTCAAGAGACTTCATGTTCTTCCTTAACATGGCTGAAAACATAATCGCAGTACCTTTCCTTCTTGAGGCCTGCGATCTCTGAATCCCTCCGCCCGAGCTCTATCTGGACTTTCTCCAGGGCTCCCTGCATCTTACTGTGAGAAGCCAGCACATTTTCCAGCATGATTGTAACTTTGCAGTTGTCTTCTTTAGCCTCTGCTAATTGTTTCTGAAAGTTCCCCACCTAAAGGAAAATAAAACAAGACAGAAAACAGAAAAGTACGGTTCACTTTTGTTTCTTAAGTTACTGTGCTTTAAAGTTGTAAATTATAGGTATGCTATATGGGAAACGAGATAGTAGAATTCATGTTATCACTTTTTATGTCATAAAAGTGAAACTTATGACAAAAATTTGTTGTGACACTTTAATGTCTCTAGGATTGTTTCAATCCTCTTTATCTAATAGAATCTCAGAGTTAGAAAAATAGCAAAATATATTTGAATCAACAACAACCAAAAAGTTATTGTGTTTTGAGGAGAAAAAAATGTCACCCCATGTGGCAGCCTCCTGACTACCACCACAGCATAGCACACAATTAAGTGAACATACTGGGTCTTCTATGGGTCAGAGGTGATTGTGGAGAAGTATGCTCAGTTGTCTTCTGATGGGCTCAGAAAAAGAGAACATATCTGAAATTATCTGAGGATAAAAGACTGGGAGAGAAAGTGAAGCTGCTAAAGAATCATGTATCCATAGATCTCTCATGTGTCCATAGGTCTCTCAAGTGTCCATAGGTCTCTCATGTGTCCATAGGTCTCTCATGTGTCCATAGGTCTCTCATGTGTCCATAGGTCTCTCCCTTGGAGAAGACTGTTGTCAAGAAGCTTGAGATGGGCCAGTGAGATGGTTAAGAGTGGGAAGCACTGCCGCAAAGCATGATGACCTGAGCTCCCTCTCTGGGATCCATATGATAGAAGGAGAAAACTGACTCCTGCAAATTTTCCTCTGACCTCCACAATGCATCCACACACATCCACATAGCAACAAATTATATGTATGTATGTGTGTGTGTGTGTGCATGTGTGTATGTGTGTATGAAGTTTGAGGTATGGATAGAAGAAATAAAAATATGGCAACATACATAATTGGATATCATTCAGACATAACAGAATTCTGTTATTTGTAGCAACATGGGTGGAAGTGGCAGACTTTAGATTTTACTGAAATAACTCAGGCATAGAAAGATACATAGTGTATATGCTCACTTAAATGTGGAAGCTAAACACCTGACTTCAACGAAGTAGAAAAGAGTGATTTCTAGAGCTTAGGAAAGGTGATAGAGGATTGGACATGTGATACCTACCCAGTGCAGTGGTGCCACTGGATGGGAGGAAACTCTAATGGTTTTTAAAATACTCTTTTGTAAAAGGATAAACAGCTAATGGAAGTGGGTTTATTTATTCAAGTGGATAAGCATATTTAATTTTTCATATTTGTACAAAAAGAGTACAATAAGGACATATCTGCCAAGAATTAGTTGAATGTTTCACATACAAGCAGTATAAGTAGCTACTCCTATACATGTCAAGTGTTCTCAACATAAAGGATGACTGATAAATGTTTGAGATGACAGACATGCTGAGTATGGTATGACTCTTACTAGGATTATAGATGTATTAAAATGTCATATAATGTACAAATGCAATGTCTAATCATATTTTAAAAAGACGTTTGGGAGGGGACTGCTGCTCTTGCTAAGTCCCACAGGAACATTGTTCAGGTGAAGCCTCACCGCAAGGCCATGCCACATTAATTAAATGCAAAGGGGAGGCTGGCAGGATGGTAAAAATCATAAATTCAGCCCCAGGGTCAGGGGCTAGCCAGGAACTAAGACACTCTCAGACCAGCCTGGGAGACATGGTCATACCCTTTGCAAAAAACAAGAGAAGTTCAAAGAAACAGGTAAGCAGAGGACCCTCAGAGGTGGCTACACCATCTATCCATCCATCAGATGGACTCCAACAGAAAACAATCAGACTGTCCTGGTAGTCATAGTGAGTCATTACAGAAAAATTTAGAACTATTTTAACCCTTCATTGATCACATCTCCTCTTTTCATGAATGAGAAAAGGAAGTTAGGGAACGTGGCCTGTCAGATTTCATATGTCCCTGCCAGAGAGACTTTCAGAGAGGGCGCCTTGCCTTCTTGTTCTCCCTGTCCTCCAGCGCCTCCAGGTCCCCTTTCAACTTCTGGCTCTCTTTCAGAGCAGCATCTCGACACTTCACTGCTTGGGCCAGTTCTTCCTCATTTTTCCCAAGAATAGATTTCATCTTGGAAGGAAAAAGGAAAGAATGCATAACATTCTAAAGCACAACAAACCAGTGAGTGTAATAAGGCACAAAAATTTATAAGCAAACATGAAAAATTAAATATGCCTATCCACTTAAATAAATAAGCCTACTTCCATTAGTTGTCTATCCTTTTACAAAAGAGTAAAAATTTTTAACAACCAAATCAGTGAATAAGCAGGGGTGCCAGGAGTTTGCCCTGGCTGAAATGGGTTGAAGTAGAACACAGCATCAGATGCAAGCCAGAAGACTGAGGACCTCCAGCCTTTTAACTCTCTGTTCTGTACTAAAAACTTTACTTTTTCTTACTGTTCTGTGCTTCACTAAATGCTGGGGAAACAACACTTTATCTCTCTTAGTATCTACTTTATAATTCTCTGTGCTTCAGTAAGCACTGGAAAACTTAACATTTTATAAACTTACCTCATATTTCTCTGGCAATTAACATATGCTGAATGGTGTATGTTAATTCCATATGCATATGCCATACGGAATTCAGTAGAAGATTCATTGCTAAGGCTCCTTTTTCCCTTGCCTGGAAGCCTCATCTCTCAGTGGCCAAGTGAGAAGGAGGCTTGGAGCAATTAACTTTTAGTGAACCAGGAAAACAAAGTCATGCTCATAGAAAGAAAAACTTTTACTCAAGCAAATATGCATACACACAAAATCATATACACATTCATGTACACATTCACTTTTTTGTTGGGCCCAAGCATCTGTCTCATCAACTTACTTACACACACACACACACACACACACACTTATACTTACAAATACACACACACACACACACACTTATACTTACAAATACACACACACACACACACACACACACACACACACACACACACATATTTGGTGGATGGAGCAAAAGTCCCCATGAGCAGGTCTCATTGAGCAAGTGTCAGTGCAGAAAGAACTCATGCATTCTGGATGAAAAATAAGCTCCAACCTCTATTGTTTAGAGAGAGAAAGAAAAAACTTCTACCTTTTTATTGTGGAAAATACCCTGTCCTTGTCAGTAAGAAGAAACTTGCTGTTCAGCAAAAGCCTATCTCATGGTAAGAAGCCTGCCTGCTCTCTCTGCTCTCCTGCTCTGGTCTGCTCTGCTTCTATTCTGCTTCTGTGCTTAATGTCATCATTCCGAGTAGTTCTTGTATTTTTTCAGGACACATGATCACATGGTATTATAAGCATTTTTTAAAAAAATGCTTAGAATCACAAGTTCAAACATGCTTTCAAATCATAAATTGAATAAGGAGTTACAACAGAGTTGTTTACATGTGTTTCCATTAAGACTAGTTATCTAGCTAGACATTCATTATCTGCCACTAGCTCTACAGGCTATTAAGAATTTAAGACAATAATTCTTACATCTAAGTTAGCATGGTTTTGTCTAGAGGCAAATCATCTGTGCCTTGTGTCTCATTAGTATTGAAGTTTTGTATAGCTAAGTCCAGACAATATTTTATTTTTTGTCCTTGCGCCTACAATAAATTGCCCATACCCAGTTTTATGACCTTTAGTTATCAGATAATGATTTCATAGCCAGCCCAGTAAGAATGTTCTCACTGATTGTAAATCTGTTTCAAACCTGCTTTCTATCTTAGTGCTATTAGCTCATAACACATGAAGGTTTACAGAACCCTAACTGTAGCCTTTATATTATACAGGGCTCAATATTACTTGTATAAATTTAGGAATTCTATAGAATCATTATTAGGAATTATGAAATCATCAGTTTGTCTACATAACATTGCTACAAAAGAGCATATCTTCATTGATCTGCAGAAAATTTGCCCAATATGGTGGGCTAATGTCCAGGTATTATTATTATAATAATATTAATATTAAATTAATAATTTATTATTTAATATTTTGTTAATAAAATAATTAAACCATTAATAAAATTATTGATTTAATAATGACAGGAAAGGCATATCAGCTGCAAAATTCAATCCTCAGATGAGATTTCTGAAAGCCTCACAATTCAAAATTATCTATTTCAGACCATACAATAAATATGATGTGTCATCTCCAGAAGTTTACTTGTATGCTTTTAGCCTTTCCTAGATGGCTTCTGACACATGGGCAAACTTAATAGTCAGAAGTCAAGGAACCTGGAGAGGAGCTGAAGTAACAGAAGGCTCCACTTGGGCAGTTAAGGTACAGAGAATGGGGAGTACTGCCTTTGTTTCCTGGGACCGTAGTCCATCACCTCAGGATAGATGAAGAGTCTCACAGCCTTGGGCTTGAAGTAAACAGATGAATTCATCTCCTGAAGTCATTTATCTGTACTGGGGCTCACTGTTGTTAGCACTGACTGCTTTGTAGACAAGTGGGTTACTGCACTTCAGCCTCATCCCTTTGGCTAGGGGTTATAGTCCTAAAGGTTTAAGAACACAGAGTAGACTCTGTATGTAGGTTTCAGTGTTTTGCTTGCTTGCTACAAATGGTAACACAGTCAGAGGTCGCCCTTTGCCAACAGTACTAGACACCCAAGGAACTTAGGAGTCTCAGGAGTGCAGGAAAATCTGCTGGGACAAGATCCAAAGCTAATGGTGGTCAGCATAGCCTTTGGTACACAGGGGAGGGACATTCTTAAAGGAAACTCTGTTTAGCATCTGACTTGCCTGGTTCAGCACTGTCCTACATGGTAGAAAAGGCAGACTTTAACTAACTGCTTCTTTCTACTTGGCAGACAATTTACAGGACCTAGAAAGAAGCTGTTCCAGTATTTCATCTTCCTTCTGCTATGTGTATTCCCTATTCAAAAGAAATTGTTTTAGTAGTATTTCTCACATTGCTTTGCTTTTTAAAACTTGTTATTGTATTGTTATTATCATTATTGTTGTTATTATTATTGTGTGTTGTTATATGCAATGTGTGATTTATGGCTGTATGTGCCACAGCACACATGTATAGGTCAAGAGGACAGCTTTGTTGAGACAATTATCTCCTTCCAACTTACCAAGGATTCCAGGGATCAAACTCAGATCATCAATCAGGCTTTAATGCTGAGCCATCTCTTTTATGCTACTCACTTATTTTTACTTTTACCATAAATAAAATTTAACTTTATAGTATACCCACAATACTCAAATTATTTTTGCCATTTCCATGGTTACTGGTATTTTATCAATTTTTATTGTATTCCTGTATCTTGTTCTGTTTGAAATTGTTGCTGTTACGGTGAGTGTTCCTGAGCGGTACTGGAGATTGAGAGTAGACTGCTTACTAAGAGTCACAGTGAAATAGGAGCAGACATTCCACCCTAAGATGTAGAAAGTGTAACACAGAAACACAGGATACGTGAAAAAGGAGCAAGATACCTCCAAAGACCATGCTCATCAATTACCACATGCAAAGAGACTGACATGATTCAAATGTGAAACCAAAAATCCAAAAGTCTACTTTAAAAAAATGCTAACGACTTCAAAAAGTAAGCATAGAAGGTAGTAAGGAAGTTCATTTAGAGCACAGGTAATTCAGTAAGCCAGCAACATGGGTAATTCAG